TACAGCGAGAATAAAAGTTACGCCTTATTTCTTTGCATGAACATTTGGGAGGCGTTATGCAAATCTTCCCACATCGTGATGTAGACATGTGGGGGCGTGTTAGAACGAGCCATTTTAGGACTTTTATAAAGAATGTCTCTTTGGATTTGAGACTTTAGTCTTTGCAATTTTACAGATCTTCTTTGTGCACCAAGAGCTTGTAACACTCCAAAGAGAAAGGAAAAATTTAAATCGCATCATGTGACCCCTTTAAGCTATTCCAGAGTAGTCTAATAAAATCAATTAAGAGTGCAGCCTAATGTAATTCACAAAAGTATATCGTATTACCATGATTTGTGTTCAAAAACATGGTATTAACGTGATATATGTCAAAAAATTTATAAAAAACGTGGTAGGCTACTATAATGGTACCGCGTTCAAAACCAACAGTAATATTAACTCAGTACTTTTTGCTAGCCAGAGTTTTCAGGCATGCTGCAGTTTTACCCTCATAATGTGGAAAATAATAAATATAGCAAAGGAAGGAAAAGGCAGAAAAGAGTAAATATCATTCTCCGAAGCTCTAAACCCCTGCAGGTCTCTCTCGGCTCTGTTCAGTAGAAACGCTTCTTCATCCCCAGCGGAGAAATCCGGACTAAACCAACTCGCCATGTAGGGGGGACAGGGGGCACATTACGAGAACTCCTCTGCGTTTGCACCCAAAGTAACCACTTTGGCACTTTATGCAAACTTAATATATAATTATATGTCGTATAACATCGAGTGGTCTCAAATTTTAACGTTACAGAATAACAAACTGCGTCATTTATACGAACTCGCACCCCTTTGTATCCACAACTACATTTATCAATCTGAGGGCCGAAATCCGCACACATTCAATCACTGATCCAGATGAGCCAGCTGGCCACGAGCACTACTCGCAATACGCGAACGGGGCGTTTCAAAGACGTCGAAACAATGATAATAGACTGTTTTGGTTTGAAATAGCGTTTGGGACTTTGTAGTTATGGGGTGTCGGCATCCGCTGGATGGATGGGTGGACGCTACGTGGTAGTTTATGAGTGATCGGACCGGTGTGCTGAACGGGTTCAGTCCGATCTCTACAGGTCAGTGTTGTTTCCTTAAACAGATTACGATTAGCTTGTGTAACTGTTCCTAGAATGTAAAGCGGAAGCGGCTTTGTAACATACACCACTGAACGATGAACCGAATCGAATGTTTGAAACAAAGTTTAAACGTTCTGTGGAATGCTCAAAATATGAGCGCTTATTGTTTGTTTTCTTTTGTTCTATTTCGAATACCAAGGTCATGGGTTCGATTCCCAGCGATCACTTGTACTGTAAAAATATATTTTAGAAGCATTTGACAAAAGTTTGGTAGATGCCGGAATGTAAATGTTCTAATTTATTTGTGTAAGTATATTGAAAATGTAACAATGAGTTAATCATCATGACCATTTTAATGCTTGTAGAGGATGTGATTATGCAACTGGTTGTTTGTATTAATAGAAAGTCATATTTTCTTCCTACCTTCCTTTTGAAAGTTCCTTCCACACTTTTTTACTTTTAAACTTCTAGCTCAGCTGGTAGAGCGTGGTTCTAACAAAGCCAAGGTCATAGGTTCGATTCCCATGCGTTATCTGTTTTTTCTTATGATAAAGCTGTGCAAAATTCATACTTGTAAGTGCTCTCATTTATGTATAAGGTAACAAGGTTTTAACTTGCTTTAGAACATTCAGAGTGAGTTTGAAATTGTATTAATTGTAGTGGTTTTCTGTATTCTTAGGTCTGAAATGAGAAACATCACACGTCTGTTTGGGGCGACCCAACCTCAATGGGTCTCCTGGCTGTGGCTCTTGTTTTCGATGCTCTTTTGGACCTGTTTAAAAGCACAGCAGTTAAAAAACACTAGATGGCCGCTGTATTCCGGCAAGCCTTTGCTTTTGGCCTGGAACGCCCCTACAGAAGACTGTAGACCTCGACATGACGTCACCTTCCAGTTAGATCAATTCCAAATTGTGGCGTCACCGAACGAGGGCTTCACCAAGCAAAATCTCACCATTTTTTATCAAGACCGTTTAGGTATGTACCCGTATTTTGAGTCAGACAGCACTCCAGTCAACGGCGGCCTACCGCAAATCGCCAGTCTCACACAACACCTAGAACGGATGCCGGAAGGGCTCAAGAAGTACATCAAGGACCCGACAGTGAAAGGCCTCGCTGTGATCGACTGGGAGGAGTGGCGGCCACTCTGGATACGTAATTGGGGCCCTAAAGACATTTACCGTGATCGTTCGCGACGGTTAGTCGCTGAGAAAAACCCAACTTCGCCTCAAGATCAGGTGGCCAAAGTGGCCCAGCAAGAGTTTGAGCTTTCTGCATGTAAGTTCATGTTGGAGACGCTTCGATCAGCCAAGAGCTTACGGCCCCAGCAACTTTGGGGTTTCTACCTCTTTCCTGATTGCTACAATCACAATTACCAAAGTAAGAACTACACGGGACGCTGTCCAGATGTGGAGGTGACCAGGAACGACCAACTAAAGTGGCTGTGGATGGAGAGTACAGCTCTGTATCCTTCCATATACATGGCAAATATGCTGAAGGACCAACTGGCCGGACGCCAGTTCGTACGGAACCGGGTCAAGGAGGGCATGAGGTTGGCTTCTGTTGGGAACGGGTCAGCCAGGCCTGTGTTTGTCTACACGCGGCCCACTTACCAAAACAATCCTCCAGCTTCTAACGGCAACCTTCTTGAACTCCTGCTGCTGACAGAGGTGAGATTTCCGTAAGGTGATGCTTGTGTTGCTCTTGGTGTGGCAATGTTTGATTTCCCTCAAAAAGAGTGTTAGTACTGGACCAGTGTGGGTGCTTGTTTGTTGAAGTTGACCTGAACCATAAAGTAGCCTAGTCGTGCACAACATATTGGTATCATATTAGTTATCGGTCAATACTAGAGTTTTTGTTTTTAGTTTATCAGTTTCGGTTGATATTGGATATTTAATTGTTGCTCATGGTTATTTGCTCTATTTTTACATTTAGATGACCCTTTCCTTCATCTAACACTCACTGAAAGTTAATAATCTTAAAAAAAAAATTACATTTAAAAATCTTAAATTTTTAACAATTATACTGTATATTATAATTTTGAGGCCTAAACTTGTGGCAATTAAAATGATGGATTTTGATTTTCAGTTCATTTATTTTATTTTAGATAAAATATTTGGGAATTGTAATTATTGTCTATTTATATGTTATCGGCCATAACTTGAAAATAATTATCAGCTTATTAGTATCTACCAGAAATCTTTTATTTGTTATATATATATATTTATATATTAAATCTATCATACATTTTTTTTTATTGTTTTTAAAATTTAGGATTCGAAAATATTTTTATTTTATTTTGTTCTATTATTAAATTATATTATTAAACAATAAGCATAAAACACAAAACTCATTTGAGTAATTTTACATTGTACAAGTAAGTTTAACATTAAAACATTGTAATGTATTTATATTAATTTTGAGATTTGCATTTACATATTACAGTGTAAAATTATAAAATTAGAATATACATTATAAGATTACATTTTACAGGGTTAAATGATAAATGTTTTAAAATATAAAGCGTTTTAAAATGAGCATTAACAATTAAATATCTATTTAAAACATTTCTAATATTGGTCAATAACCGATATGGTTAGCCGATATACCGATATGTTGTGTAGTCATTTTGTTGACGTTTTAATCTAAAGGGACACTTATTGTAGGTTCCTGAGGTAAGTAACCTGAGATCAGTTTTTGCAGAATTGAAATGTTCCACCTTTTGGATACCAGCCCAGATCTTTATCCTCAAAAAATATTATAGGCAGGTCCTGCAGAGGCAAACCCCAAAACCTGAGCTACGTTTGTCCAGCTGAACCGATCTTTGTGATGGTCTGTTGGCTTCTGTGGCTGTTTGAGGGAAGTTCAGCCGTTTCTGAGGTGTTCGTATTTCAGGAGTGCAGTGTCATGGTGTGTTTTTCCTGCCGTTGAGCGATGTTCCCAACGGGGTGTAGGTGCAGAGAATTTAAACAGACTGATATATGTTGCGGCTTGTCTTAAATATAGCAAGCACACATGCAGAATCTTCTCAGCTTTCTGGAGACAAAGACTCATCTGTGTTCCTCATCGAGTCTCGTCAGCTCTGTAGAACAAATACCACAATGCCATCAGCAGCTCGGATGACACGTGAGGCCCTGAGGTTTACTGGAGCACATTCAAAACGAACCCAGAGCTTCATGAGCAGAGCAGTTAAAGTTCGGTATTCAGGTCAACTCGCCTGACACCACTAAATGACTAATGATTCTTAATCTTTTCTTTAAAAATCGATCCAGAAGTAATTATAAAAAGCAATTATTAAGCAGTGCATTAGAAAATATTATACAAAATAATTAATTCAATTCACGTTTATTTGTACAGTGCTTTTCACGATATAAATTGTTACAAAGCAACTTAACAGAAAATGAAAGTTTCTACATTACATTTAGAAGTTTATCAGTGGTGACTGTCAAGGTGATGTCTGTATGGCAGGAATGTACAGAAAAAAAATCATCCGGTTAGTTACTGACAATTATTTCCTAATAGAGTAAAAAAATAGATTTTTTACTGCATTTGAAAAAAAAATCTACTTGGACGTTTGGTCTAAATTGGTTCCTCTGATTGAAAAAAAACACCCATTTAGTATGTTTAGTAGTGTATTGAATAGTGTCAAATGACTGAAAAAAATATTTATTATGTTTTAATATTGTTTTATTTTAATATTATTAAATTATTAAGTTTATTATTAATATAAATTGTAATTTAATATTCATGTTTTTCATTGTATATATTTTTGTAATGTATTTTGAAACATTTGTGTGATTTGTTTTCAAATTTTTTAAAATATTAATATATATTAATGTAATATTTATATACATTATAAATAATAAAAACTAATTATTACTATAAATACTAATATGAATTGTAATTTAATTTTCTCTCTCTCTCTCTCTCTCTCTCTCTATGTATATATATATGATATTAATATAATTTATAATACATAATGTATAAAGATATATATATATATATATATATATATATATATATATATATATATAATGATAATTTTCAAAATAAATTATAGCTATCAATTTGTGAAAAACAAAATAAATATAAAAATCGTTGTAATAATTTTGTGTCAGTGTGAACGCCCAATAACATCTAATCATACTATGCCTAGTTAGCAGACCTTAACTAACCGTTCATACTGACATCACGGCTGGTCACATGGACACGTCTGTAAAACTGTCCTTGTAGTCTGTAGAGTAATTCTGGTCCGTCTGGAGGCTGAAGATCACATAACGGCTACTGGACGTATCTGTGTCTCGCACACCAGCGAACGATATCATCTGTTTATTCTAAGCGCACATGCGTCTGCCGCTTTAAATTCTTGAGCTCGTTACAGCAGGATGGATTCTGATTGGCTGTCAGTATTTTATCGTTCATCAGCTGGAGAAAAATTGATATCGTTCCTCTGTATCGTTTTCGTTATTGTTGTGGTGTGACCTATGCTATTCTTTAATATTGAGAACGATTTTTAGAACTATATCTTTATAGTTATCGTGCTTTGTGTGAACGGGCCTTTAGAGCCTTCCTGAGCCCAAGTCCGAAGACTTTTTCCCCTCTTCAATTTTTTTGTTCTCTCTTCAAAACCTTTGTTCTCTCTAAAAAGCAACACAAGTGAGAGGAAAAAAAGATGGCTAGCTAACATTAGCATGCGGTACCAACGTCGGCCACCAGGTCACTATCAGTATGCATGAAATTAACGCTTAAACCACTTTAAACCTTGAATAATACATTTACGCGAAGGATTTGCATGTTATAATCAAGACGAAATCAGGTTATATACATTGGTTGATGTATAATAGCTAGAGTTGTTTTTAGCTGTATATTATAAACATGCGCTACAGTTGCTTGCTGTCCTGTTTTCCCAGCGCCACGAGATGGAAATATGGAGAAAAACAGGGGAAACATGGGCAAATTGTTACAGTGTGTATGGAGTCCTGGGTAATGATAATCTGGCTGTAAGTAATGTTCTAAATTCCAGTCGGTAAAACGGAACGGGGAAGTTCAGTCAGACAAGCAGAGTCAATGTGCTAAATTAAATGCTAGGCGTTTTCTCCCCCACAGAAAACCGTTATATAGAAAATACTTAACGTGGCTTAATGGACAAAAACTGATATAAAAAGCTGTGGCCAAAATATGAACGCAGCGTGCAAAGTCTTGTATTTATTATTCAAGGTTTAAAGTGATTTAAGCATTAATTTCATGCATACTGGTGGCCGATGTTGGTACTGCATGCTAATGTTAGCGAGCCATCTTTTTTCTCTCTCTCTTGTGTTGCTCTTGGAGAGAAGAACAAGTTTTGAAGAGAGAAAAAAAGTTTTGAAAAGAGACAAAAAAATAGGTTTGAAGAGAGAAAAACTCTTTGAACTTCGGCTCAGGAAGGAACTAAGACACTACCACGGTCACTTAAATTGAATCCTTAAAAACAAAAATTATTTTAAAAATTAATTCAATTAGTAAATTAATTTGATTTTTTTATTGTTTATTTTTAGTTTATTTAACAGTATTTATTACAACATTTCTTTCATCATTTGTCAGGCATTTATTGCTCTTATTGTTTATACATAATGTAAATGAGAGTAAACAAAACAGCTGAATTAAATATTTTACACTATTTAGATATATATAGTTTATATATATATATATATATATATACACACTTTTATTTATTTATAATTTTATAAAAAGTATTAGTTAGTGTTAAATTATTAAAATGAATTACATATATGTTTTGTGTGAGTGTGTATATATATATATGTGTATATATATATATATATATATATATATATATATATATATATATATATATATATATATATATACACACACAGTATATAGTAAGTCAAAAATAAAAACCGTACAACATAATATATATATTTTTACAGAAATTGTTTATATTTATACATATATGTATAATCATATAAAAATATTATTACAATTTAAATGAATCTTTTGCGAAAATTAAAGAGTTCAAATAATTATATTAAAATGAATATATATAAGTATATTTGTGTTTGTATAAATACATGTATTTTAAATCAAAAATTGTAAAAAATCAAACATTATTCTATTGATTTTAAAGACACAGGGAGAAAGTATTTATTTTATTATGCCAATGCAGAAATTAGCCGAAGTAGTTAATCATGAAATGGTCAAATATTGGCCAATGAATCTTCTTAGCAGTTTGTGATTGCGAAAGATATTGGTCTAATTTACAACCTAGTGTACGTAAAATTTGGTATTCGATGAATTCTTTACTCTCGTTTCTTCCAGACGGCTTGTTCTAGTCTTAATGAATACCTGCGAGGGCCGTTGGGTCGTTACCTGCTCAACGTGACGTCGGCCGCCGAGCAGTGCAGCCGAAACCTCTGCGGATTTCGGGGCCGCTGCCTTCGCAAACGTCCCGACACGGACACGTACCTGCATCTCAGCCCGAACACCCACAGCATAGAGCGGCAGGGAAACACGCTGAAGGTCTCGGGCCAGATGGGAGAAGAAGAGCTGAGCCGCGTACGGGACGAGTTCCAGTGTCAGTGCTATAACGGGTACGTCGGCGACAACTGCAGCCAGAGGGATGCTGGGAATAGAGCTGCGCTCGTCTGGACCACGTTTCTGCAAGTTCTGCTGTTGCCGCTGCTCTTGATGGGGTTCCTGCACTGAAGAGTTCAGTAGAAGTAATTTGAGGACAATACGCCGGACCTTCTCGTCAAGAAATGCGTGACGTCAGCAGGAGGAAGGCCTTTTATTCGATAGAATTTGAACAGAAATGGAGAATTTGAATGCGCACGCTAACTCTGTGGAGTTAGAGCACAGTGGTTTTTTTGTTCGAGTGCATCGCCCCCTGCTGCATGGGAGGCTGAACTGCGACAGGCGGAATTGTGATTTTCGGCTAGGTTTGATGTTTGTGTATGCGTGAAAGAAATGTGATCTTGTCTGTGTGCATTTTTTATAAAAAAAAGACAAATTTATGTGGTTGTGTTTCTTTGCCTTCATACCTGCGTAAAACCAGTTGTGACCTTATTTCTGCTGTGTGTCACAGGACCAGCTCCTTAAGAGACATGTTTTGTTACTTCCAACGCTGCTGCCTCATTAAAACCTCACTTAGATTGAAACCTGTTTTCTATCACATTTCACTCCAAAATTAAGAAATTAGAGAAATTACATTTTGCATGAGGAAAATGAAGCCCGTTTTAGGATCGTTTTCATAATTTTTTCCATTGGTTTTCTTTTGATTTCATGACATTTGTGCATTTTCATCCAGAAATTCTCATAACACGTTGTTGTTGACATTATTATTATTTTCAGTGTGATTCTCATTATAGTATAGCATTTGTTTCTTTACAGTAAAAAAGAAAATGATGATAAATTTTAAATTAAGGCAATACAAAATTCTACCATGAGATATAAAATGCCAATTCAAATGATGTTATAAATTATTATACAAAAAATTGTTAAAATACTAATATTAAAATAAAATTTTAATTCATGAAATGTCAGATTTCTCTCCAAAGTTAAAAGCCTGTTGTAGGATAATTTAGATTTTTTTTCCTCCTAGAAATTATAATGCATTCAAACGTGTTTTTTTTTTATCCTCATGATTCTCAATGTGATTCTCATTATAGTAATTTTACAGTAATAAGATAAGAAATCAGTTTGTAAATGTGCTTAATTATGATGAAAATGTCACAACGGATATTAATGGTCCTATAATTAGGTTTCTTTATGCAAAATATACGTTTTGTCATTGTTTTCCTTTCATTTGGGGCTGAAATATGACTGAAATATGTTCTTGACAGGTTTTCTTAGACCACTGCTGGATAGTGAGGAATTTTTGAAAATCTTGTGACGACTTTTGCCAAAAACATGAATGTACATGTCAAATCAGCAAACTGCGGTTCACACAAGCAAAGATGCCGCCTTATTTTTCTGCCTGGGTTTCACAAATCTGTTTTGAGGAAGGATTTCCCTCTTTTATTGCTGAACTTTGCATTTCTGCTCTTTATTCGTGTGGGATAAACTGGAAAGACTTTGCGCATTTTCAGAGTTTGTGTGACAACTACACCATCATAGATCTGCGGTTTTGTTTTTCCTGTAGTTATTTTTTTGTCATTGTAGTGCCTTTAAAGGCATAGTTCACCCAAAAATGAACATTCTGTCATTTACAAACTGCTTTCTTGTCTGGACTGCAAAGTAGGCAATGATAGAAATAGCATATTTGGGTGAACAGTCTCTTTAATTGACTATGTGTTAAAGAACCTCACAAGTGCAAAATTAAACCTAAAAGCTTCATTTTTATTTTTATACAATAGAATTTTGATACCAAATTCTGCTTGTTCTGTCCAGATTGACTCGTATAAAGTGAGTTATACATGATCAATCGCTTCCAGGTTGAATTGTATCAGGTGTTTGGTGACTGAAAGTGTTTGTTTTATATTTTTACAATAAATCTCATATTTAAAAGCAAAGTCTTGCTTGTAATTTTTGGATTTTTACAAAGTAACTCCAGTAGAGTCCGAAACCATTTTGAAAATCTGGGGTTTGTTTCATTTAAACTGGACATTTTTTTTGTTGAAACATTGAATCGTTATGAGACATATTTAGGAATCTGTTTCTAAATGTCATTTTCCCCTCATCCTCACTAGCTGGGTCACTTTTCCTCTAGTTTTTCCAGCCCTTGGTTTCTTGTTTTCTAGGTCCTGCTCCGCTCCTGAGGGGGTAGTCGGACCGTGCCAAAGGGAACATTACGGGCTGGCAGCACAGAGAACGTCTTGTGTTATTATAACTCAAACCAGACATCCAGTCTCCTTTTATTCTCTCCCTCTTCTTTGCTCTGGGATCTTCCGTGTGTTTGCTGCTGTGTGGGAATAATACTGGGATCTGTGGCTCAGACTGTTGGGAATCGCACTGCATCCACATGTCTAAGCCAATATGTCATCTTGCACAATATTACATAGGGCTCTGCTGAACAATGCACATAGTTCTCTCTGTATTTGACTAGAATAGAAATCAAAACTATTTACTAAAGTAATTCTGCATACGTTTAAAAACAAAAAAGACATCTAATTTATCCCTTAGGAAAATTAACCATGATTTTATTATAGTAAAAGTGTATGGTTTTTGATGCATTGATTACTATTTGTATAACCAGAATTTTACTACAAATACCATGGTTAAACTATGGTTAGTGTAGCAAAACCGTGGTTAATTTGTGGTTACCCTGGTTTAACTTGATTTGTAGTGAATCCATGGTGCACGCAGAAAAATTATACGGAGTGAGTTGATGTGGATGACTGAAAGAACCATCCACATATCGTTTTTTCTCCTGCCTCATATTATTTCCATTACAAAAAAGTTTTGCTAGCGAACGCAATTGTATTTCAATATAATTGTTCCTCCCTTCACCTTTTTTTCTCTCACTCCCATGTCTCATTAGAGGCTCAGTAGATTTCCAATTGTGTAGTAACATGCCCTATTATTATGAGATATTATTTCGCAACAACTCTGAAAGATTTCCAAGGAAAGGTTAATTCACAGCCACAGGAGTGAGTCGGAACCATCGCACGCGTTTACCCGTTTCCACACGGAACTATTATTGTGGGTGACTCATTAACGCTGCTACTGTCACTGCATGCGAATTATGATCAATCTCAAACTTTCCGACAGTCATCGATTATTGGATATTTACAGGGTTTCGTATATTTTTTAGGTAAGTACTAAATGTACGACATGGCTGTCGTGTTCTTGCATTTATCGCCATGTTGGTTGCAGCTGCGGTACGTCTGCGCACTTTATTTCAGCGACGTTACTTAGATGTAGACTTTTATGCATTAACTACAAAAGTTGTAATTACGCATACTCTTGTTTTAAAGTCTTTTATAAATTCGATCATGCATTTCAGATATTTTCGTGTTTATTTTTCGTGCCACCCAGTTAAAATGGAGTCTGGGGGTTTAATCTGCTGCGATTAATGAGATTAATGGTTGCTCCTGGTGTCAGCTGGTTAACCCGAGTGTGATTGTTTCATCTGCTGTAATTAAATGGGTTTACATGCAGATGATGAATTTCTTCCGCAACCGTCTGGTGGTTTTGGGGCTGGTGTTGCTGGCCACCGTGCTGCTGTATCTGCTGCTGCCCTCCATGCGGCAGGGGAGCATGGAACCGTCTCTGGAGGTGCAGCAGCGGAGGGGTCTGGCCGCCTCTCCTCCTCCGCCGCCGCCAAACAGCATCAACATCACGGTCAGGACCGGCCAGCTGCCCGGAGACCCGCCGCTCTTCTTCCGAGAGGCTCTGCCTGTGGACAGCGCTGGGCGACAGATTGTGCCCAGGTCAGGTTACTTTATCATTTAAGTTCTATTCTAGAGTTATAGAATGGCTGTATTGAGCTAGACATCAGGTTTAGGTTCCGAATTTACGGCATAATTGGAAAGCTCTGTATAGAATAGTAAATCTGATTCGTTCTTCAGTTCATAACCATTAAAAATCTAATTTACGTCTTTGGGGCAAAGCATTGTTCCGTGGTTAAACTATGGTTAATTTGTCTATTAACCATGTTTTTTGGTTTTATTTGTAGTGAAACCATGGTTAATTTTTGTAAGGGAGAATACAAGATTATAGCCTAATGTTTTAAAATGATACTAAAATGATCATATAATCGTTTACTAAAGTTTTCTTTGCACACATTTTTTGATTTAGAACAGTTTCACCTTGTATTCACTTGCAGAACGTTTGCGTTCTTTTGCAAATGATTGCATTCACCTGAAAACTTTGCGTTTACTTGTAAAATAACTTCAGGGATCTTATCTATTCACAATCAGCTCGTAACACTCCAAAGAGAAAGGAAAACTTGAATTCGCATCATATGACCCCTTTAACAGAAAAACTTTGCATTCTCTCACAAAAAAACTTTTTTTGTGAAACTTTGTTTTCGCTTGCACAACTTTTTTGTTCTCTCAACAAATATTGTGTTTCCCTGAGAAAACTTTAGTTTTCTTGCAAAATATTGTCTATCCCTGAGAAACTTTGCACTTATGCATTCTCTCACAAAAGTATTGTGTTTTCCAAACTTTTTCATGCTCTCGCCAAATGTTTTCCTGAGAAACCTTGCTTTAGCTTGCAAAACTTTTGCGTTCTCTTGAAAAATATTGTTCACCAAAAAACGTTTGCGTTTTCTCACAAAATATTGCATTTCCCTCGATAAAGATTGCACTCATTGGCATTTGTGTTCTCTTGCAAAATATTGCGTTCCCTCACAGAAGTATTGTGTTCTCTCGAGAAACTTGGTTCGCTCGCAAAATCAATTTACTGTAATAATTTTGCAGAAGTAAACCTTTCGCCCTCACATGAAATTCCTGACTATGTGGATTCCCACTGACTTGATTTCACCTGCAAAAATTATTAGTGTTAAAGTCACCATGAAATCAACATTGAAAATTCTTATTTTTTTACAGGAATACTGTAGTGTTTATTGTAAATAATTTATCCGTGCACTTCATTATTATTATTTTTTAATTCATGTGCCCTCGTAATCTTTAATCAAAAACGTTATCCTCCCCTCCCCCTCAAAACGACTCATCTTCTCTTCCGGTCACGAGCTATGGCGCAAGGGCGGAGCTAGTGACGTGAGTGTAAACGCTGGGATAAACGACAGGGAAAAGCTGAAGCTGATGCTTCACTTTATAGCACTGACACCAATCATGAGGGAGTATGTTACCCCTAAACATTGATTTTACGACAACATTACTCTTAGGACATCGCAAACTAATTTTTTTCATGAATATGACTTAACCGGATGGAGGACGCGCTCAGTCATTCAGGCAGTCTCTCTCGCGCGCGTATGCACTGTTTAGGCATGTTTTGTGCCGTTGATCGTCATCGTCATGCTTAATAAATAAAACATTTATTCATGCTTTGGTGTCGGCTGTGAATCCAGTGGAGACTCAGAGAAATCCCCCACCACTAACTGCAAACTGGCATTCAGATCTGCCTCCATTTTGTTAGCAACTCCTCAAAACTTCCAACAATCCAATCAATTCTTGAAGGATGAAATCAAGTCCCGCCCTCTCATTTCAGATGCCGTTTCACTTGGATATATGTCACAATAGAGAAGAAACCGACTTTAAAGCCTTCTGGCTGGTTGCTAGGCAGGTGCTAGAGTTTCGTGTGGTTGCTGGGCAGTGACTAAAATGTTCTGAATGGTAGCTAGGGAGTTTTGGCTGGTTGCTTGAAAGTTTTGATCGGTAGATGAACAGATAGACAGTGGTATTTTAATGAAAACTATGGTAACCATGGTAATTTTCGAACTACTAAATACTGCATATAAATATTATGAGCTATTCTTATGTAACTGTAAAGATTCAGCATCTGTATCTCCTCTCCATCAGGCTGCAGATGGTGCTTCTTCATGGTCAGGCCTTCACCTCTAAGACGTGGGAGGAGTTGGGCACCCTCAGCCTGCTGGCGTCCAATGGGTACCAGGCCCTCGCTCTCGACCTGCCCGGTATGAGCTCTGTAAACGTATATTTCACTTTATTAATGTTCTTGATATGCTGATTTATTAAAAACTTCTAAAGCAGATCACTAAACCGTCTTGTTTCTTGTCAGGTTTTGGGAATTCTCCGGACTCTGAGTCTGCAAAGTCGGATCAGAGCCGCGTGGACCTGCTAAAGCGTTTTCTGGAATCTCTGGGCGTGCGAGCACCGGTGTTACTGAGCCCGTCTATGAGCGGCCATTACGCCTTGCCATTCCTCCAGAAACACAGCGCCCAGCTGCATGGCTTTGTGCCCATCGCCCCCGTGGGCACCCGCGGCATCACCCCACAGCAGTACCGCGACATCCAGGTGCCGTATTTCTTTCAAATCATCTCACACTTAAGAATTCCTTGATTTTAATGTTCGGTTTTAATTCTCACTTCTCATCTGTATGACAGACTCCTACACTAATCATATATGGCGAGTTAGACACCAACCTGGGCGCCCAATCTCATAAGAACCTGATTCAGCTGCCTCATCACACCGTGGTGAAGCTGGCGGGTGCGCGGCACGCCTGTTACATGGACAAACCCCGCGAGTTCCACCGCACTCTGCTCGACTTCCTCAGCAAACTCGAATGAGGGACGGAGAGAGTGAGAACAGGTCAAACAAACACGTGAAAAAGACTTTGGAAGAGACTGGGGGAAGAAAAAGACAGACGCAAGACAAGAAAATGATGAACAGGACTGCGGTGTAGCTGTAAAACCAGTCCTGAAACGTAACACAACACCTGAACGTTCTACCAGCCATCCACATCTGCTCACTCCTTATAATTTCCCTGCGTGCACCATCAAGAGATTAGATATTATAATATATCAAATAAACAAAACTTCTGCAGAATGACTATAGTAAAGCTTCTTTTGTAGATTGTAAACATTTCCTTTTATCAGTTTTGACATTGTTGCCTGTAATAATGGCCTGTCCGAAGGTTGTTAAATTTTCCAGCCTGAGGGTTGTTCTGTAATGCTGTTCCCATGGTTTCCAGTCTCAGGAATGTTCCTTTAACAACACAATAGCCATGGTTTCCAGTCTGAGAATTATTCTGTAATGTTGTTGCCATGGTTTCTGGTCTGACAGATGTTTCTGTAACATAGTTGCCATGGTTTCCTTTCTGAGAGATGTTCTGTAACGCTGTTGCCAGGGATTTTCCTGGAACAAAATTGCCATGGTTTCCAGTCTTGAGAGTTATTCCGTAACGCTCTTTCCATGGTTTCTGGTCTGACAGATTTTCCTGTAACATAGTTGCCATGGTTTCCTTTCTGAGGGTTGTTCTGTGTCGCTGTTGCCATGGTTTCCAGGGTGAAAAATGTTCCTGTAACTCAGTTGCCATGGTTTCCAGTCTGAAGAATATTACTGTAACTCAGTTGCTGTGTTTTTTTTTCTGAGGTTTATTCTGCATCGCTGTTTCCATGGTTTCTTGTCTGAGGAATGTTCCTGTAATGCAGTTGTCGTGGTTTCTTTTCTTAGGGTTGTTCCCATAAAATGGTTGCCATGGTTTCCAGTCTGAGAAATATTCCTGTAACGAAGTTGTCATGGTTTTCTAAGGGAAGTTCCTGTAACACAGTTGTAATGGTTTCCAGTCTGAGAGTTATTCTGTAACGCTGTTGCCATGGTTTCTGCTCAGACAAATGTTCCTGTAACTCCGTTGCCATGGCCTTCTTTCTGAGGGATGTACCTGTAACTCAATTGCCATGGTTTCCAGGCTAAGAAATGTTCATGTGAATCAGTTGCCATGGTTTCTAGACTGACAGTTGCTTCCAATAACATGGTTGCCATGGTTTCCATTCTGAGGATTGTTCCGATAACTCAGGTGTCATGTTTTCTGGTCTTTGGCTATCCCTATAATAGAAATGCCATGGTTTCCTGTATGAGGGTTGTTTTTTTTAAAATATGATTGTCATGGTTTTCTGTAACAACGTGAGTCACATAATGCCAAAAATCATGACTGTCATAACCCTCCATCTCAAATATGCTTGACAGAAGTCATCAATCCTACAAGAACATCTCGGAGGAGAAAACAGTGTTTCTTATTTTTGGCTCGAATAGGTTTGTCTTATCATCGAGTGAAATCATATAGAGTGTTCACACCAGCAGTTGGCACACATACTACTGAATGTAGCATGTTAGTGTGTGAATGACTCGCCATATGGTTTTAGAAGTGCACAAATAGAGACAAAAGTTGCCGTATTGGACGCCTGTAAATTCAGTTTTTCATTATCAGTAGTTGTCAGACTCGTACTGGCAGTAGATTATTCAGATTATTATTAGATTAAAAAATAGAACATTTCCTGAGAGTGCAGAGAAGAAAAAGTGTTCACTAAATGGTGCTGGTATTACATTACCACACCTAAAAATGTAGGTGTTCATTACATATTTATTATTTATTGCTTAAAGCTTCTACATGACAGAAACCATAATGTGTGTGTGGTATTTATGTGCTGTGGTCTGTTGTTTTGTTTGTTTATAGCTTGTAAATATGAATATGTTTTAGAGGACAGTGAGGCACCTCTGATCACCATTTCTGACATCCCGAATCTTCAACCTGAAGGGATGCATGGTACTGCAGAGCCATGAAACATGCTTTTGTTCAATGCAAAATAAAGTTCATTAACATTAATGTTTTGGCGTTTGTGATTTAATGGACATACACCACAAGAGACATCAAGTACAACCAAACAATTGTAAGGGGTCTATAAGTTCAAGTGCACTAAATGAAGTCGATCAAATGTTAAATATATAAATATGAACTAAACCACGATATAAACCTAATTCTGTGAAATAAGTATAATGAACTACTCAAAAAATATAAATAAACATTTCAAAAAGCCTCCAGCACATTTTATAAGGCCCAAAATTCAAACTCCTCAGCCCTCACGCACGACACGTCTGTCAAAAACTTAGACTTTGCTGTTGATTGGAATATTAGAACTAAAAACATTAGCATAACACTAAAGGGCATCAATCACTGCAATGGATACTTGCCGGGTAATAAATAAATATTACCTTACAATCCTTCTGCTTTCAAATCCACATTATATGAATATCACGAAATTTCTGTGAAAAAATAACATGCAGGATACACTGCGGTATTTACGAGAAGCACTGGGGTCCGGGGAGTACACAGAAAGCCCACACTAATGGATGTTTTGACTAAAGGAGAACATGGTGGCCTGAGTGGCTTCAACATGATGTCTGTCAGAGACCATAACGTACCTATAACGCATGCGAGTATACATTTGTTCTTGACTAGCTGAAATTAACTGGTGCTTTTCATATAGTGTAGTTTGAGCACTATCTTCTCAGTTGTTTAAAAGATTAAGGCAATTATAAAATGTAAAATTTTCCAATAAAAGAAGATACATTTTGACACATGATACATATAAAAGGAGTAATAGTAGTATAATTATTAGAATAGTATTATAATTATAGTGTTATCATTATGGTGTTATTATAGTAACCATTTTAGAGTTATATTATTATCATAGTTATTTCCGTGAACTTCTAAGAAAATAAAAAAAGAGAAATTATAAAATTAAGCTAAAAAAAAAAATGTACAGGAAAAAGTAACGTTAACACGGAAAATGGCTTGTATAAAAAAATGTAGAATATAATAAAATAGAATTTTTAAAATACCGGGGAAAAAGCGTTTTAATGATTCTTTTACTCGTGTTTTGACCACGTGTGCGCATTGTGTGTGGGCGTGGCCAGGCGGAATCGAATGATGCCGACGTCATGACGCACGCCATGAGTCTCTCCTCGGGAAGATGGCTGCCGTGTACATGATGCGAAACTGAATGGACCGAAAACAGCCCCAAATTGCTAAAATTCCCCCCTCTTCCCTCCTCTGTGTCCCACTCCACATCCACACACATGCGTTCGCGTTAAAACGAAGCCGATTTTAACCTAGTGTGAAGAACTAAGATGATAATATGACCCAGAAAAAGAAGAAGCGAGTGAATCGCAGTTTGTTACTGGCGAAGAAAATTATCATCAAGGATGGAGGAACGGTGAGTGGCTTCTGTATTCAACCGCAACAAACACATCCGATACGGAGGGTTAAGTCTTAAATAAGCTTATACATACGTATTATGTTAATGTCTGACAAAAGGCAAAATGCTCTGAGCACGCGTTGGAGGAGTAACTGACATTCAAGGCTGTAAACATCAGCATTTACTTCCTGTAAAGAGCAATAAATCACATCAGAACACTTAAATACGTGTTTTTATTAATGCACAGGTGGTTTGATGACACTCTAGATGCCTTTAAAAATGTTACAGACTTAACTATTATAATGACGTTCAAACAACACAGTATAAACATTCATTAATATTGCTACACCTAGTTTGACCTTTTTTTGGTAAATGGATATGGCAGTCAATCAGTACCATGATAATTATCAAAGTACAATGCTGTTATCATCTGATGTTATTATGGTACTGCCTCAGTGTTGATGTGTTAGGGTAGATATGCGAAACTTCATGTCATTTAAGTATAAAGTGTGTCAGACGACTCATGATCATGCTTATGTTTACAAGGTTTGGATATAAATTTAGTTGTCAAGAAAACCTGAAAACAGTGTTTTTTATATACTTTATATTTTTGAATGTATATACACATTTTGAATTGGCTTTTTAATTTAAAATCAGTTCTTAATATTAGTCGAATGTAGTATGTTTATTTGAATGGTAGTAATTTTATTATGAGCTTTTGTCATTTTTATGTTTTGTGTAAATATTTCTATTTTATTTTTATGTTTAGTATTTTAGTTGTAGTCATTTTAATACTTAAGCTTAATATATTTCAGTTAGCCCCCAAGGCAACATTTGTAAGTTTTAGTGATAGTAGTAATAGTAGTTTTAGTTGTGTGCTTTTGCCATTTTTGTATTTCTATTTAGCTTTATTTATTTCACTTTAAGTTTTAATAATTTTTGTCCTTGCCAAGTAAATATTTGTCATTTTTGTTAGTAAAGTTTTAGTAATTTTGTTATGTGCGTTTGTCATTTTTATAGTTTTTTTTTAATATTTATATTTAATTTTTTAACAAGTTTTAGTAATTTTTGTACTTCAGCTTATTTTATTTCAGTTATTTCCGTTTGTTTTTCATCTAATATTTATATTTTATTGATTTGATCTCTATTCCAATTACTGAAAGCAATTTTGAAATAGTTTCAGTGAACAATAACAATACTGCCTGAAGGCCAGTGATGATAAATATCGTAATGGTCAGTGATTTGTCTAAAATGCTTTACACTCAAATGAGCCCCTCACATGTGCAGATGTGGTCAGTCCCATTGAGTTGCAGATCATTTGCTTGAAATTTTCATAAACCCACCAGAAACGATTGGCTTTTTCCCATGACAGAAGCAGACATGTTATCAAGAGTTGCGATTTTGCTTGTTTTATTAAAATTGTAGGTTGTTTGGATATGTTTTATCTTGCCTACAGCACAAAATAAGCCAGAATCTGCACTGGTTGGCGCTCAAAAAACGTCTGATACTCTAGTTTGATAGATTAGGCCTCAAACAGTCCTAATCATGTAATCTCTTAGTGTCAAAACCAATCCGAAGCTGTAAAGGATGTGTAATAATACTGGTTTGTTTCTTCACCATGGCTGACATCTCTGGTTCTTCTCTGTCCAGCCTCAAGGCTTTGGTTCTCCCAGCGTTTATCATGCCGTCATCGTCATATTTCTGGAGTTCTTCGCTTGGGGTTTGCTGACAGCACCTACTTTGGGAGTAAGTTGCGGTCATTTCGAACCAAAATAAGCGTATTTTTGTGTTAAATCAAGATGTTATTTTCATATCAGGTGACGTTTATTTCATGTTACGGGTGTTAGGAACCCACTTTATGTCTCTGTTGTTATATTGGGTAATATGATCATGTAGGAAAGCTTCAAACTTGCATTGGCGTCATAACTGATGTTGTTTTGTGTCTCATGTGTCTGCAGGCTCTTCATGAAACATTCCCGAAACACACGTTTCTCATGAATGGCTTGATTCAGGGGGTCAAGGTATCAGCTTTAACATCCTTCAGTTTACATCCTGATAATCCAGTCTAGTTCATGTTTCAGAAGCGGCGTGTTTTTGTTCGCAGGGTCTGCTGTCGTTTTTAAGCGCTCCTCTGATCGGTGCTCTGTCAGACGTGTGGGGAAGGAAGTCGTTTCTTTTACTCACCGTGTTCTTCACGTGTGCTCCAATTCCTTTATTGAAGATCAGCCCATGGTATGTCGTGTTTCTTGTTTTTGGACACGACAAATGTGTATATTAATTTTTATGAAATTTAGAAAAAGAAATTTAAATGTAGTTAGTTTTTTTTATTATTATTTATTTTTTATTTAATATTTAAGTTGACTTGATTTGGATATCTGAATATATTCATCATAACGTATCTTTTTAACAGTGTTAATTTCGTATTATTTATAAACTGTTATAATATTTATTAATGTTTTGAATTAGCTTTAATATTTATATTTTAACATTTAAATTAAAATGTATTTTTGTTTTTATTTTATTTCATTGTTACATTATATATTTGTCATTATTTGATATATCATGTTTAGTCGTTTTAGTATTTGATTTTTACGTTTTTATTTTTATTTAAAAATTTTAATTTTAAAAAGATGAGATGTAAACAAATTTTAATAGTTTAGTTGCATGCTTTTGTAATAATAAAAAAAATCTGTTTATCTTTAATTTTTTATTTCATTATGTTATTATATTATGTTCTATTTTCAGTCATTTTAGTATTTAATTTACTATTAATTTATTTTAATTATCTTAATTTTTTTTTCATTTTAATTGAAAAAGATGCAAATAAGATGTACACAAAATTCATACTTGTTCTTTTGACATGTTTCATTATTTTCTGTGTCCAATGTTAAAATTCAATAAAAAGTTGTTTTAAATCAAACTACAATAACAACAAAAAGACATTATTTTTATTGTAATATACTGATTGTAATATTGGTTCATAGCCAGTACAGATCATCTCAAAAAGCCCAAGTATCAGTCTCACTGATATATCGGTTTGTTTCTATTTTGTACTACACACGCACAACTTAAATCTCATGCTTGCAAAGATTTAAAAGTGTTCCTGTTGTTTTTCAGGTGGTACTTTGCCATTATCTCTGTATCTGGAGTGTTTGCCGTTACCTTCTCGGTTATATTCGCCTATGTGGCCGACATCACCCAAGAGCATGAGCGCAGTATGGCTTACGGCATGGTACGTGTAACCGGCCAACACAACGCCATCTCTCTTTTTGCCCCTTTGTTTTGTATTAACCCCTCTGTTCCTTCTCTGGAAGGTCTCGGCCACGTTTGCGGCGAGTCTGGTGACAAGCCCGGCCATCGGCGCGTATCTGAGTCAGGTCTATGGAGACAGTCTGGTAGTGGTTCTGGCTTCTGCCATTGCTATGCTGGACATCTGCTTTATCCTGGTGGCCGTGCCCGAATCGCTTCCGGAAAAGATGAGACCGGCCTCCTGGGGCGCCCCAATCTCATGGGAACAAGCAGACCCCTTTGCTGTGCAAGTGTTTTATCGGTAGGGTGAAGGAGTTTATAGAGATGCATTTTAAAATGTCATCGCGCATAGTTTTGTTACGAACATTTGTCTAAATAGGCCTTCACCGTAGACAGTTTTGGGAAAAGTTCTTGACTTTGCGTTAACCGTGTTTCATGTGTTCCTCTAACAGAGTGCAATAATCCCGGGACCGCCGTTCCTCTTTGGTGCGTGTTCTGTGCTGCTGGCGCTCCTGGTGGCGCTTTTCATTCCCGAACACCCCCATATGGGCACTCGTGCGGGCAGCTGGAAGAAGCACACATCCCCCCACGGCCACCCGCACAGTCCCCACCCACCCGGAGAGGCCAAAGAGCCCCTTCTACAGGACACTAACGTGTGATTGGGAGTTTCGATGTGGCCATTTTGGCCACGCCCCCTATTACGCATTGGGGAAGAAACTGCGCATGGAGGTTATTGTCATTTATTGAAATATAAAGCTAAATCGGAGGCACGGTCAGTTTTGCGCTTAGAGCTCTACCTTCCTGCAGAATTTCATTTAAATACACCTGAACCTGTTCATTAAGGTTTACGGAAATTACAGACAGGAAGGAAAGTCTCCATGATTAAGACTGGGCGTCCCTACTGAATCGCCAATAGAGCACCACTTTTTAAAAGAAATGTATATAGAAGAACATATATTTAACAATGGTTCTGTCCAAAGGCACTATTGCAATGGCTTGTATTTATTCTTTTTATTACTTGTTTTTTGCCTTTTTTTTTTCTTTCTTTTTACATTGCTCTGTTTGGCTGTCTAGTTCTTCATTACCATAGTTCACTCAGGGACATTAACCTGGTCAGGAATGTTTCCGAACACAGTGTGTTCCCCTTTTCAGAAGGGCCTAGCGACAATGTACAAATAACAGGCTTCATTCATGAAACGCAAGCAGAACAAATTGTGTGAATCACAACTATTCACAAGAATTCGCATTGAACAAACTTTTGTAGCTTGTTCGTAAAAATATTTGTTGAAAAATGGTAGAAATTTTTCCCTAAAACTATTTGCAAGAATTTGCGGAGAACAAATTCTTGCAAGTCATTCGTAAAGCCGCTCGTAAGAATTTCAGTTAAACACATTTGTGTGAATTGTTCATAAAATTACTTGCAAGGTTTTGAGTTGAACGAATTTGAGTAATTCGTTCGTAAAACCATTCATAAGAATTTTAGAAGCAAAAAATTATTTGGTTCCTACAACTATTTGCATAAATTTGTTCAACACAAATTGTTGCAAATCTTTCATAAAACCATTCTTAAACATTTTGGATGAATTGCATTTGTGTGAATCGTTCGGAAAACTACTTCGTAAAACCATATGTAAGAATTTGCGCTAAACCAAGTTCTGCAAATTGTTCGTAAAACCATTCATACGAATTCTAGTTGAACAAATTTATGTAAATTGTTGTTCATATAATCATAAGAATTTAAGCAGAGCGATTTTCTTAAGTCGTTTGTAAAACTTTTGGTGAAAATCATAAAATGAGTTGTTTTTGAGGCCCAGTGTCTTTACTGGATGAAGTGGTTTTGCTATAAATGTGCTGCATTCATGAGGTCACGAGTTTGTTTGGGAACATGACAGATAATTTTTACGGATTTCTAATGCTTTGACATGAATGGCCTTAACTGAGAGTTCGGTTTCAGGCTTTGACAAACGAACGTCGCAGTGGAATGATTGTGGTACAGCTTCAAAGTTCCTTTTCCTTTTCGTTTTTTTGCTCATGTTTAAGCTGAAGCCTGTCTTTTTATCACTTAGAATGGTGCCTTTTCCCAGCTTAAATTGTGTTGTTGATGGAAACTGGTGAATTTAAGTGACGCATGAGACTCGAGATCTGCACAACTGAACAGTCTTGTGTAAAATAACAGTAGAGCTGACTCTAGATCAGTAGTGAAAATGAAATGCCTGACGAGTCTTCTGTCTGGATTCGCTTTCGGCCTTGTGTAGAAACATTCTTTTATGAAAAATGTACGTTTACGCGAAACACTTCGCAAATGCCAACTGACATTTGACAAACAGAAAGTGAAATTTGCCAGTGGCCTTTCTATATTTTTTTTGTTTTCATAAAGAATGGCTCATTTTAAGGTTCGACATTTGACCTAATGTATGGATATATTGACAAGACAGGCGAGTTAATCTGAAATATTAGTTGTGTGCTTTGGATATTTATGAGATGATTTCCTGTCAAATATTTCCTTCATCTCAGAATACAGTGTGGCTTTTGTTTTGTTTTTTACGTTCTGTGGTTTTGTTGTGCTGTCTTCATTATAAATTTTAAACATGGTGTATTGTTTTTGACTGAACAATGTAAATATGTCTAAACATATTAAAGTATCTAAACATGCATTTCAATAAAAGTTAAATATTTTGATATATGTGTGATCGTGTTGGTTGTTTTTAAACTTTAAGCTACACAGTAAAAAGGTGAACAATTTTTTCAAACTGCATTTTATTTACGGTTGTCCTAAAATTGAGCTACTGATGAACAAGTAGCCAAACTGCAATCCATGATAAACAGATTACAACGTTCACTGTTAAACCATAAATAGAAAAATATAAATGTACACACTATTAATTATATACAGCTTTACACAGCAAACCAGTCTCACGTTTTGTCATATCAAATCACAAACTCAAATCCTTATATTAACCTTCAAATTGCCAATCATATGAATAGCACTATTTGAGGATATACAATGGCAGCTCTCTGAGTGTTTGGCAAAGGTTCATGTTCAGAGACCGTTCATGCATGGCACAATCAAGTTTAAGACAACGAGAAAACATTTTATAGGCACCACAGACCTAAAGGACCAAACTTTAGCACCATTATTATTGATAAATTAGTCCCACACTAATGCCAAAGTCTCAAGGAATCTCTTTGTAAACGATGGAAACCACAGAATAAAGATGAAAAAAATGTCTATTTCAGAATTTTGACAGTTTATATTTCACAATTCTGTTTTGCTTCCACCACAGAATGAAAAAAGTAACTGACTAATCTCACAATTTTGACTTTTTTCCTCACAAATGTAAGTTATATCTTACAATTTCTCAGAATTGCGAGGGAAAAAAAAGCCCATTCCCACCACAATTTTTTTTTTTAAATTGCAATTCTAAGTCATAATAGCAAGGTATGAACTTCTATTTGACTTCAGTTACATGTTTACAGCTCACAATTCTGCCTTTTTTTTCTGTGGTGAAAATGGGCTTCCATAGTAAGCACGTTGAGAAATGGATTTAAAATAAATGTTTTAATAAATTATTGAATACATTTTAAACAAGAATATCATCTGCATGGACACTTTGCAATGAATTCCCATCTTAGTAGTGGCGCTCACACATTCAACGTAGTGATGAATAGAAGTGCATCTGAACTGCTGTTCGTCATCCTGGGAAATACGCAGAAGCTACGGACGCTGTTGGTTTTGCTCCAGCTGTGTTCAAAGGCTTAGGAACTTCTGTAGATAAAAGATATTCAACATTTAATAAGAAGGTCTAAAATTAAGAATAAATGGGGAAAAGTAGTTTTTGTGGTTTGCCTCTATTTAGATGCATGCTGGGTAGGAGGCCGCGGAGAGGGATGCTGTCATCTCGTCTCTCAAAGTACTTGGAGTCCAGACCAACAGGCTCTCCGCTGTAATGAGCAGAGATACCGGTCAGACCAGAGGCTTTACTTCAGAGAACAGGAAGTAGACGGATTGAAAGAGGAACTCACTTCTCTTTATTGGAGGGTTGGGAGAGTGCAGTGGGACTCAGGTCTGCTGCTGAAGGTTTGGCACTCATAGGGTTAAACTGGACCTAAAAAGAATTCAACAGTGTTTTTTGTCAGACACGCTCATAATTGTGATTGTCAGTGAAAAACACAAAGGCTTTGCTCACACTGACAGCTACAGTTTGATTTTTAGGCACATCAGTCAAATGAGTTCAGTTTTCATAGCAGTATGTATGTGTGTATTTATTTTCAACAAATTGTGGACAATTTTTTAAATATTTTGTGTTTTAATATTTTAACAACATTATGGCGAAAACAATTTTGTACAAAAAAAAATTGGGGTTGAGAATCAACAAGTCAAAATTATGGTAAAAATTCATTAAATATCTTTTTGGAAAATGTGAAAAAAAACAAATTTTTTTTTTGCAAAATTATGGTGAACAAATGTTATTACAATTATATATTTTTGACAATTTGAAAAAAAAAAGTTTCATATTTTCACAAAATAAAGTGAAAATGTAAACTATTTTTGTAAAAATGTGTGTGTGTGTGTGTGGGGGGGGTTAATTTTCACAAAATAAAAAAAAACATATTTTGGGACAATTTGGAAAAATTATGGTGATTTAATGAAATTATGGTGACATCTTTTATAAAAAAATTTTTTTTTTTTAGAAAATGTGGAAATTTAATATTTTCACAAAATTATGGTAACAATGTTATAAAAAATGTTATGCTTAGAAAATTTGGAAAAATATGTTTTTTAAAATATTTTCACAAAAGTATGGTGAACAAATGTTATAAAAAATATTTTTGGAAAATTTGTGATGTTTTCACAAAATCTATTGATAAATCTTCTACTTTTGGAAAATGAAAAAAAAAAATTCAGAAAATTATGGTGAAAAAAAAAGAAGAAAAAAAAAGGTTAAATGTAAAAAAAAAAATATTTTAATTGTTATTTTAAATATTTTCCGAAAATTATGGTAAAATATATATTTTTCATAATGTACATTTCCAAAAATTACATTTTTAGGAAATTCAGTCCAGAATATTTTCTCAAGTAGATTTTTGGGGCACTACATGTATTAAACATTGTTCAGCACCAGAGCGAGACACCATAATCGACACAAGCAGCCAAAACACCAGTTTTCCATCTGCTCCTGCCACAATCTACTGTCTATAATACAGGGGTTAAAGCAAAAAAAAATCCTGAGCCTGAACCTTTTTCTGGGGGTTGCAACAGTGGTATTAATTTGTTACTTTTTCAAAATCATTGATATATTATTAATAACAACAACCACTTGTATTTTTCTCTTATTATTTTCATCAACAATATGGTTTAGTAATTAAAATCATTTAATTATTGTCCGTGCAGAGGCTATTCCGTTTTATTGATCTATGGCGCATTCATTTTGATTCTTTACACGTGTAATGATGTCCAGTGACTTGTTTGCATTATTTCTGCATTATTTTATTTATTTGTAAGACTTTTTTATGACTAAATTTGGTAATGGGAGAGTAAAATTATTTTTTAAACGTACACCGTTCAAACTAGGCTGCTTATGTTGAAGTGTTTGGGATGTGGCTTTTAATGATGAGACCTTTTTTGTAATCAGGCTCTCAAAAAGTATATAACAATTTGGATATAGATTTATCGGCCAACATATCGGTTATCGGCTTTCAAAAATAAAGAATAATCGGTTATCGGTATCGGCCAAAATTTTCATATCGGTGCATCCCTACTAACTAGTAACATATCTGCCATTGACATTAGCCCTTGACAGTCTCAAACTACAGATTATGATGGGATATTTGATATTTGAAACAGAAATACCAAGAAAGCTTACTCACTACAATATGGTACAAACACATGTAACATTTAGGATGCTTTTGATATCAAGTTTTGCTGGTTAGCTTTGTCCTTGATCGTACAAGATGACCTACAATCTAAAACATGACATTTCTG